TACAAAATTGTATGTATATTTAAAATGTATATATATGTATATTATTATTATTATTATATTATATATATTATATATATATTATTATTATTACTGTATTATATATATTATATATATATTATTATTATTATATTATATATATATAATAATAATATAATACATGTAATAATATATATGTATATTATTACATATATTATTATTTATATCATATGAATATATATTTATTTATATACTAAATATATAATAAATAAATAAAATATAAATAATAATATATAATAAATATATATATAATATAAATAATAATAAAAACATAATACATGTAATAAATAAATATACATATAATATAAATAAAAATAATAATATATATATAATAAATAAATATGTATATACGCGCTTTATTGAATTCAGGTTTGCGTAGGGCCACCCGCGACGGCTCGGTAAACGATTATCGACCTGCTCGCGCAATCCTTTTCGCGGTTTTTTACGAGTCGCATGCGTTCGCCTTGAATGTTACGTGGAATCGGCTGTAGATACCAGTTCCCTTTGTATCTTGCAGCGGGACATTATTCCGCGAACAATTGCCGTTCCGCGTTCGAAATGTATGCATTATCGAGTCTTTTTTCCCCCCCTCGCCGTTCCTCGCGGAACGCACGAACGCGAGCAGCTAGGCTCTTTAATTCTTTAAAGTGTCGCGAGGACAATTGCCGATGCTGTGAAAGCTGTTTGGTTTGACGCAGCACCGGTCTTTCGCGCATTGGTTACAAATAAATCGTTGTTACTTCTGCAGATGCGAATCGACGTAAACGAATTCTTCTTCGGACACATCTTTTGTAAGATCTATCGAGCACTATTCTGCAAGATTCGCTGCGACGCGACGTGATCGAAAAAATAAGGGTTTAAAAAGAGGACAATTTCGAGGAGTTAAATTGTGTTTAATCCGCTTCTGGGATTTGTAGCTAAATGTGTGCTGTTTAATCGTGCAGAAAGTGAATGTACTCGGACGAAACCTAAACAAAAATTAAATTAGGTAAAGAACTACTATATGTATTGGGTTGGCAACTAAGTAATTGCCGATTTCAGTTATAGATGTCTCTCACTGCCATTTTTATGATATCCGTAAATGTTATATTAGAAAATTATTATTATTCTTATTATTATGTTATTTTTTATTATCCGTGAATGTTAGCAACTGAACAAATGCAGCGGTCAAGGAAAAGCGACCACAATGCTATAGTTAGCTTGCTGACTTTTATAACACCCAAGAAATATAGTTCAAATGTTATTNCATGCATTATATTATTTTTGCAATAATTGATGCAGTTTTATATGCAATGTTTGTAAAGAAAAGAGGTTAGTTCTACGCGCACACGTGCGTTAGTGTACAGTGAAAGTAGAAATGATCAGCCATGGTCAGACACGTGAGTCAATGTAATCGACTAGACAGCACACGTAGCTTACATAATTGGAAACTGGTCTTTCCATAAAACGAAAACGTTTTATTTCTTTCATCTAAACTTTCCTCCTTCCTAGTTTTATTATAAGTATTGTAACAACCTGACATCCTATATATAACATGTAGTAAATACTATTTAAATAATTATACCGTTCAATAATGTGAAATTAAGTTTCACTCTTAATAGAAAATATTATTCTACGGAATTTCAATTTAAAAAATAAATTAAAATTGAACGCGACAGATCTATACAGGTTGTCCCAAAATTATGGTATTTCCGGGAAATGATGGGTTCCTAAGGTGATTCGAAGTAACTTTTTCCTTAGCGAAAATGCAATCCGCTACTTCGTTTACGAGTTATTAACAAAAAACAATGACCAATGAGGGGCGAGCTCGCTTGGCGCTAGGTGGCCGAGCCAATGAGCAGAACTGGGCTTCGTGCGCTCGTTGGCTGGGCCGCCTCGCGCCAGCCAAGCTCGCCTCTCATTGGCCAGTGTTTTTCGTTAATAATTCGTTAACGATGTCTCGGAGAAAATTTTTGTAATGGACAAAGTTGCTTCGAATAACCTCAGGAATCTCTAATTTCCCGGAAGTACCATAATTATGGGACACCCTGCATACAGGGTGTCTGATGGTACAGTCGGATGGAGGCTTATTCAGCGCTAAAAAATAAAAAAAAGAAGATGAAGAAGAACATTTTTTGATTTGAGGCTTTGTTTTCGATAAAACTATGTTGGGAGATGCATTAACTTCACGTAGCTTGTAGCGTGACGAGAAATGAAATTAGTAGGCAATCGCCGGATGCGCCATTTGATCTGTATTTAATAATATTATTTTATCCACTTAATTTTTCTTGAAAACGGAGCCTTGACTGAAAAAATGTTTAAAGCTCATAGTGTCGTAGATCATTAAATTCGTCTTGATATGCGCTACAATGCTGTATTATAAACAAAAAAATACGCAAAAAAATGACGATCAGCTTAAAAAAGCTCGGAAAGAATGATCTTGAAAGAGGAAACCCATCGATCATAATATTCCTACCTTTGAACCAAACGAATTTATTACGACACATTTTTTTATATGAGCAAAATTAAAGAAGATATTTAAACGTGTGCAGGATAAAAGAATCCTCTATATACACCGATACTATAGCTGTCATTAACCCCTTTGTATCGTTCCGAAATTCGCAATTACCGTGCCGACGCAGTCCGCTGAATTTCGTTTTAATATCCTCTTTATGAGAGAATACATAATTTAATTAAACTCTATTGTTTCGTGTTCAAACAAATTTCGTTAACTCGTATAAAGCGGTTCAAATACAGTAAAATAATCTGCTAGACATTTTCGCACAATTGCTTGCAAATTTCTCATATTCGTTTCTCGACGCCACTCATATTATTATATTCAATTCTACGTGCTGGTTTCATAATCCTTTTCTTCGATATCACCTTTTCTCTCTTATTCTGATTATTATTGGATCCATCATCTCGATAGTTCAACGCTTCGTACTCAGGCTTATAAATAATAAGGACCGATTACAGGCCGATAAAAGTAAGACTGACAGAGAATGTCATGAAATAGCTTAAAAATCACAGGGCGGGCGTCGTCATAATCTGGTTTGGCTCCGGGATCCCGTGACGGGCATTGCCCGTAATATGATGTGAAAGAGTTAAATTGCCATAAAATATAATTTAGAGCTCAGAGCGGTGTCATCATTTCAACTTCAGTGAATCCTGCTCTTATGCTTCTGTTCAGTAATCTGTGGGACAGTGTAACCTGTTATTTCCAGAATGTCGTGGTAAGAAAATTGCACGTCGGAGCATAACAGATGTTTGTGGCCTTCTCGCATGTTCAATTGTGCGTGGCCAATCATGTGATGTCGAATGTCACGCGATGAGAAAGTTGAGTAAAGGAGGGTCGCGCGGCAGCAAATTGAAAATCTTATTTACATTCGAGATGGATGAATTTTATTTACACGTGCGCCAGTCACATTCTGCTAAACAACATCTTCGAACATTTTTGTTTTGATATTCGTATCGTTCATCGCATTCGACTGTTTGAATCACTTGTCGTCGGAGCTCGAGGTTCTAATCACAGGTATGAAACCGTAAGGTGGTGTACAGCCCCTTGTACTGTCGTCTCTGCTCCTGTTCGATGATCCTTTTCTTCTTCTCACCGGTTTCGAGTCGCTGTTACACTTTACGATGAACTTGAATTCAGCCATGATTTCTTCTTTGAACGAAACCTACGCACAACGATACATGGTAATACAGGAACTTCGAATTTACAAACTGCAGTGATTGTGCGTAATTATAGACTCAAAGTAACTTTTACATTGTTACTGCTATCTAAACCAAAACTTAACCCGAGAAAGATAACCTACGTCGCAGAGGCGCCTGCCTTTAATTTTTGTTAATTTTTCATAGAGGTCTAGTGATTTAAGTTTAAAATTACTTAAAATATAAAAAAATATAATATAAATGCATTTTATTTTTACAATAATGCCAAACCTTTAAAATTACTAGATTAACTTAAATAAATATCCATTGTTAGTATGAAATTGACGCCTTAGAAAAGCATGCGCCTCTGAAGCGTATGGTTATCTTTTACGTACGTTGTCATATGGTTATCTTTCTAGGGTTAATACAATATCAAATTTGTATATTTCTATTTCCTATTATATATTTGCTATAGAAATATACAAACGTAATTGTCTTGTTAAGTTCTTTTTAAATATATAGGGTGCTGTGGATAATACACACTGCTGTGGATAATTGTAAACTCATGGTAACCTCTACATTTTTACTGATATTTAAACAGAAACCAAGAAACACGCTATATTTGTATATTTCTATTATCTATTAACTGTAATATTGAAATATACATGCTTGAAGACTTTCGTAACGAAAATTTTCGTCATTATTTCCAATGATATTGTCGCAATGTATTATTATCGAAAGTCTAGACGATAAACGGTCTAAATTCAATATCTATTTTGAAGTTTCTAAAATCTTCATAGAATGGGAAGAATCTCCAATGAGATGCTAATCTATTTTTCTTCAATTAATTAGTGTATTCGTATAAGATCGTATTCGTCGAAATTTATGGACAGAAAATTGCTATAACGTTTCATCAAGTGGGAAGAATCTTTAACGATACGAGCGATGTTCCTTCAATTAGTAAATAAATTGAGACGATACTAAAAAGTCGAACACGCTTCGATACTTACGTTTTCTCGTCTGGATGTAAGAGCAACTTCCCAAAGAAGTTCGAGCAGAGTGTAAAAGAAGGATACTGCAACACCCACAGTCAATACCAAGAAGACGCCTCCTACGTTATCTAGATCCAATTCTTCTGCTTGACTGCCACCTCCATCTTCCTACAAAATGTTCCTCAATTAATTTACGGTGCGTTTATTTCCAGCTGAATTTTTTCCGGCGCATCTGCGTACCCGACATTTTCCGCCTCCTCGTTTTTGCGTCCACCATTTTTTCTTCAGTTCTGTGATCAAACCACTTTGCTGCAGCTTCAGCACGGCAGTGTTTAATGCATGGCGGTAAGGAGAATCTGAAATACAATTATTGGAAGAATCAGTTATAGAAGATATATATCGATTGCTTCGTAACATTGTTTCAACCGTATAATTAACTGATACGATTTTAACGACACTACGCGATACAAGATTTTAATACCGTTTGCGTACTACGTAACACTGTTGAATATTTTCTATTTGTTCTAACCATTACGATGACTGTATTTTCATTTGGATTTTAAATTGGATTCGTTTTGTAATTGTACATACACTCATACACGAAAGTATTCGAACGCTTACGCGTTTCTAGCATTCAATTAATAAAATATATGTGTTAAACTGAAGCATTTGGTATAATATGACACATATAACAAGGGATGGGTCTTAAGACCGCGTAAGCAAAATTAGAAAATAATTCAACAATACATAGCGTTTTTACAGTACATTGATTGTAAACACGTGCCAGAAATGGCTCACAAAAGTATTCGAACGAAACAATTAACAATTATTTAAATTGAGCAACTAAAGGTTTTAATAGGAAGTTGATCCACCTTTTGCTTTTATAACATCCCTAAGTCTGTTTTCCATTGAGTGGACCAACTTAGAAGTAACATTTGCATCTATTGATTGCCATATTTCAATAATATTTCGTTTTAACACTTCTTTCGAAGTAATAACCGTATTTCTTAATCATCTTTCTACTTCAGCTCATAAATGTTCACTGGGGTTTAACCTTTTAGGCACGACGCGCCACTATAGTGGCTTCCGCGGATGTCACCTCTCTGAACGACGCCCCACTATAGTGGCTTTCGCGGATGTCATCTCTCTGAACGACGCACCACTACAGGGTGTCCCAAAAATGTCTCGCAATCCGAAAGTGGCGGGTTCCTCAGGTCATTCGAAGCAACTCTTTCCTTTACAAAAATTTTCTCCGAGGCACCGTTAACGAGTTATTAACGAAAAACAGTGACCAATAAGAGGCGAGCTCGGCTGGTGCGAGGCGACCGAGCCAATGAGCGGAACTGGACTTCGCGCGCTGGTTGGCTGAGCCGCCTCGCGTCAGCCGTGCTCGATTCTTATTGGTCACTGTTTTTCGTTAATAACTCGTTAACGGTGCCTCGGAGAAAATTTTTGTAAAGGAAAGAGTTGCTTCGAATGACCTGAGGAACCCGCCACTTTCGGATTGCGAGACATTTTTGGGACACCCTGTAGTGGTGCGTCGTTCAGAGAGATGACATCCGCGAAAGCCACTATAGTGGGGCGTCGTTCAGAGAGGTGACATCCGCGGAAGCCACTATAGTGGCGCGTCGTGCCTAAAAGGTTAAACCCCAGTGAACATTTATGAGCTGAAGTAGAAAGATGATTAAGAAATACGGTTATTACTTCGAAAGAAGTGTTAAAACGAAATATTATTGAAATATGGCAATCAATAGATGCAAATGTTACTTCTAAGTTGGTCCACTCAATGGAAAACAGACTTAGGGATGTTATAAAAGCAAAAGGTGGATCAACTTCCTATTAAAACCTTTAGTTGCTCAATTTAAATAATTGTTAATTGTTTCGTTCGAATACTTTTGTGAGCCATTTCTGGCACGTGTTTACAATCAATGTACTGTAAAAACGCTATGTATTGTTGAATTATTTTCTAATTTTGCTTACGCGGTCTTAAGACCCATCCCTTGTTATATGTGTCATATTATACCAAATGCTTCAGTTTAACACATATATTTTATTAATTGAATGCTAGAAACGCGTAAGCGTTCGAATACTTTCGTGTATGAGTGTATGTACAATTACAAAACGAATCCAATTTAAAATCCAAATGAAAATACAGTCATCGTAATGGTTAGAACAAATAGAAAATATTCAACAGTGTTACGTAGTACGCAAACGGTATTAAAATCTTGTATCGCGTAGTGTCGTTAAAATCGTATCAGTTAATTATACGGTTGAAACAATGTTACGAAGCAATCGATATATATCTTCTATAACTGATTCTTCCAATAATTGTATTTCAGATTCTCCTTACCGCCATGCATTAAACACTGCCGTGCTGAAGCTGCAGCAAAGTGGTTTGATCACAGAACTGAAGAAAAAATGGTGGACGCAAAAACGAGGAGGCGGAAAATGTCGGGTACGCAGATGCGCCGGAAAAAATTCAGCTGGAAATAAACGCACCGTAAATTAATTGAGGAACATTTTGTAGGAAGATGGAGGTGGCAGTCAAGCAGAAGAATTGGATCTAGATAACGTAGGAGGCGNTTCTCCGAGGCACCGTTAACGAGTTATTAACGAAAAACAGTGACCAATAAGAGGCGAGCTCGGCTGGTGCGAGGCGACCGAGCCAATGAGCGGAACTGGACTTCGCGCGCTGGTTGGCTGAGCCGCCTCGCGTCAGCCGTGCTCGATTCTTATTGGTCACTGTTTTTCGTTAATAACTCGTTAACGGTGCCTCGGAGAAAATTTTTGTAAAGGAAGAAGTTGCAACAAATGATCCGAGGAACCCGCCATTTCCGGATTGCGAGATATTTTTGGGACACCCTGTGAGCTATATAGCTCACTCGGTTATCGTTTGAATCAAATAATCGTCTTCATATGCATTGTTTCACACTTCTTTTGTCTTCACATCGATTTACAATATACAGATTTATCTTAACAATATAGCTGTTAAGAATATACAGACACTCTGTACAGTACATGTCAGACTCTGCCGTCCAGAGAAATAGCCTCGCGCAGAATTCAGCCGTACCTAAAAGGTTAAATCGGGACTTCGCGGTGGATGTGGCACCACGTGTGGAACATTATGTAATATCCATTCTTTGACTAGAGGCTAGATGTCCCAGTTTCTGTGCCTGTTCCAATTTTTGTGTTCATGGATTGAAAACGTATAGAAAAAGAAAAATGTTACAAAAAAGGTGATTCCTCTCCCTGAATCTTACACGTTGATAAGTAAACATAATAAAAAAATATAATTTGTATATAAAATTTTTCTTTTTCTATGTTTCTAATCCGGGTGCACAAAAATTGAGACAGGCATGGAAACTGGGACATCTACCCAATATACATATTATGACTATACATATACAGAGTGAGTCACAAATTATTCCTCACGATTTTTCAGCCTCTTCCAATGGTCTGACAAAAAAATGCCTCCTATCAGAGTTAGTTACTTTAACCGACATGTTCCGTTGTATGACGGAACCATTATAAATCAAGCAAGGAAAAATGTTGTCCTCGAGTCAAACATTATTGACCATCTACGTCCATCCCTGGGTAGAGGAAAATCGCCAGATGTGGATAACCCAGGGACCGAAGGCCCTAGGAAATAACGTATTTTGGACGAAGCAATCGAAATGCCAGAACACCCGTAGTAAACAATTTCGTTGAAAGCCATTTCCGTCTTCTATTCAAGTATTTCTTTTATGATCCACAGTTGGTCACCAAATGCCATTTCTAGCCGTTTTTTACGATATGCATGTTCCATCGAGAAGAGGCATTTTCCGGATCATTGTTTGCTACGGCTTATCCTTGGGACACTCGGATT